AATTCGTGAAGTTTTTCTGGGCTCTCCGTTTGTAAGAAGATTTTCCACAGCTTGCGTTTTTTCGGATTTCCTTCTTTACTGATGTTGTCAGCCATTTTGGTTTGATTCCGGTTGGATGTTTCTTGAGGGGACAGTATCGTTCAATCAGGTCTCTCATAGTTGATACGAAGGTTGTCCAGCATTCGTTGACGTCTCCTCATAATGCTTCCGTCCATAGTGTGTGTCCAATCTCTGATTTCATTGCCTCAAAGTTACTCCGCCAGACATTTCTTAACGACTTTGAACTTCGTTCGGGGACAGCTACGAGTTTCGGCTCCCATATTAATATCATGTGATCACAAAAACCTAGGGGCGGGCCTACATTTATTTCATCAACGCTTTCCTCGTTCCTGGTAAACACAAGGTCTAGGCTACTAGCTCTCTGACCTTCACGCATCCGAGTCACAGTTCGTGCATGCTGAAACAGAAATTCATCAAATGCCATGTCTAATAGCATTTGGTCAAATCCTTGTCTGTGGCCCTCACCTGTCATAAGGTCCCAGTTAATCCGCGGAGCATTGAAATCTCCTACAATAATAATGTTTTGCTTTCGACTGTCCTCGCGGAGTCGAGTGATTTACGCTTGATCTTCGTCGGCAGGTTGATTTGGAGGCCTATATGCAACGGTGATAGTGACTTTTTCGGCTTTGGGACCAGCAAATGACACTGCAGCATCTCCAGATCATGCTCATTTACACATTATTCAACAGGATTATATTTGACCGCATTGCTTATATATGGCAACTCCGCCACCTCGTTTTTTGGTTCGCTCTCGTCTTAGCACTTGATAACCATCTAACTGTATTTGCGAGTCTGTGACATCCGGGGTGAGCCACGTTTCAGTTAATGCAATAACACCAGGACATAGTTAGGCCACAATTATTCTAAGTTCGTCGAGATTGTTCAAGAGGTTTTGTACATTTCAGTAGAAGAACTTAGTTTTATGTAAGTTGTTGCGTCGAATTAGTTGCCCGGCCGTGTGGCCTTCGTTAGTATGACAGGCGTCCTCCACAGGAGGGGTCTTTGTCGCCGAACAATCACTCCGTTCATTATTACTAGTCCTTTCCCTCTCTGTTCTTTCAAGGTCGCCAGCTTCGCCTTCAGCGCTCTCCATTTTATTCTCTCTTGTACTGAGTAATCCGGTTGAAAAAAAAGACTTCTATGGCCAGGGATCCCCCCCAACTGTTTGTTCCAGTAGAAGATCCCTCTGGAGTTTACTTCCTAAAACTATCTTTAAAGGCCTTGGTTTCATCCCTTGAGAGCTTGCGCTGTCTTTACTGTTAAGTCGGAAAAGTTTCAGAATCTTAATGACTTCATCTTATTTTATTAAGCTATCCAGACACTCTTGCAAGGTCATGATATCATCATTTATCCTACATCTGGGGTTATCGTTCGTTGATTCACGAAGTCCATGGACGACTATTCATTGTGATCTATCCACAGCACCTCCATTCGACGAATTCTGTTGGATAATTGGTCTGACCGATGATGAGGCTTTCCCAGGTTGGGCTTCGACGCTAGTTGCAGGAATATTGGTGGGAGTATGTACTTCTACTCCCACTCTGGGTTCATTTTTATTCGGTCTTGTGTTGGTCGACGCTCCTCTCACACTAGGCTCAGGAGGTGCGCATACTGTCTGGGGACTGGTTTCCTCTTTCGTCGGTCCATCTTGATCATTTTCATCCTCGACCCTCGGTTCCCTTTCTGGCGAGTCTGACACCTTCGCATTCGGATTTTTGTTACATTTCTCCATAGTCTTTCCTGTCGCCTTTTTCTCATTCTTTACTGATTTTGGAGGTTTCACGTCACCCCTGATAACTGGGATCTGATAGTACTTATACTGGGTGTCTCGCGCTCTACTCTACGTTACCCTGTGCGTAGATGCTGCCAACTTACCCTCTGTCATGAAAGTCTGCTGGATAAAATTCTCCATGTTTTTAACTTCTTCCTCTACTTGATTTAACTTTGAGGCTAGCATTTGACAACCGCTGCAAGAGGTTTCCGCATGCATAGGTCGTGACCGATTTGTAAGGCTTTTAGAGCGACCGCCTAGGCGTGCGGCGATAGCGCAGTGGTCTGCGTCGCAATCTTCCACTAGTGTGGTCCTGGGTTCGACCCGGCAGTGAGTACCATTTCGTACTACTTCAGGGTTCGCCATTTTGTGCTACTTTTGTGTATCCAACAAGAAAAAACCATCAGGCGAAAGTTTTGCCTTAGATGAGAGAAGGAAAGTCTTTGGCCTCGTTCTGGTCGTTAAGAGTCACCGTATAAGATGAATATCTTCGTCTTAAAGAGGATCCTCAAGCAAATACAGGAAGCAGCTGTTGAGTTCTAGGACTTTACCGACTACGTTCGAAATATGATGCATTCAAAGAATAAAATAAGAAGAGTAACGCAGCCTATTCGGGAGTTGTTCCAGATGTTTCGATGGAAGGATAATCCGAATTTTTTGGCTCACAAACAGCAGAAATGAGGAATGGCTGAAGTCCGCGTCCTGCGAATCAGCCTTTGTCGCCAAAGAATCGTGACTTTCGAGAAGATAATTTCGTAAAGTAGAGAAAACGCAATCCACGCGTGAATTATTGTAGACCGGTGTGCTCTTAACACTGAGGTAGAGACGAAAATTTCGTAGCTTGGAAGACTTAGAATTTTCACATATATTTAGAATATAATTGGACTCAGAACGCTCCCATACGGAAGGTCACTGTGAACGAATGCCCATTCCGGTTTAGCTTTACCGATATCCACACGCCGAGATCTGCCCGTAAGAAAATCGGCTAACCATTTTAGCAGGTTCTCAGTAGCGCCCATTCGACGAAGTTAAAGTATAAGTTATTTGTGTGGAACGCTATCAAAAGCCTTTCTGAAGCCAATGTACATGACGTCGACTGATAAACGCATTTCGATTGATTTTGTCCAGCTCTCCATGGAAATTAGCAGGCTAGTAAGACAAGGTCGACCCCCTCTAACTTCATGCTGATTCACACTGACCAAGTTGTCTCCTTCGAAATGTGGCATCAGCTCCGTTTCTATAGTCTTTTCCATTACTATGCAACAGATGCTCGTGAGACTCATTGATCTGAAACTATTTGGGCAGTTCTCTAGCCGCCTTTATATATATGGCTTATATTGGCTTTCTTCCAGTCGGCAGATAGAGCCCTGGAATCCACCAAAGTTTTTAAGAGCTTGGATAACGGAGAGGCCAGTTGGTCTGAGAGTTCATTCAGGATTTTTGCGAATACGCTGTCCGGACCAGACGATTCAGTGGGTTGTAGATGACCTAAAGTTTTTTTACCGTTTTTGTTGTGAGGGCCACGGGGCTAGTTGTATTGCTCGATTTTAAAATTGCGGATAAACGATTTCATCAAAACCGGCTCCTCAGTATACACAGAAGTGACAAAATCGGCAAACAGGTTTGCCTTGTCTGAATTATAAGACGACGTATTTCCTTCGCAACCTTTATGGCAGAGAATGAAGTCCCGGTCGCTTTTCGTCTTATGCATTTAGCCAAATAACTTTTTGGCATTTTATGGGATATTTTTGGGTATTTTTAACCCAAATTCTGTCCATTTCCTCTTCACCAGATTCCAGAGTATATTCTTCTGTTTTTTTTAATTGTTAGAGTGCTCTGGTTGTTGACACCAAGCATACTTTTCCACAGTGTCCTTTTTAATCTGTGCTTCTTCCTTATTTCTGACGTCAAGCCAAGTGTTGTATTGCGTTCTTGATGAAGAGTCAATTGCTTTCTGAGTCAGGTGGCTGCGCAGCATACCAGTCTATCTTCTGTAGCAGATTCTTCATTCTGGGATAATCTCCTTTCCATAAATTTATTTCCTCGGCAGCTCGAATTTCAAATGCAGAAAAATCACTATACTCCCGAACAAGAGCGCTGTGGTCACTTCGGCCAAGGGGCGTGTATGTCCAATCCAAGGATGCGACTATCATCCCTAGTGATGATGTGATCCAAACAGCTTGACTGCTGACCGTCTCGGATTTGAGGGCCCATTTTAACGTGTTGGGTAAGGAACTCTTCAGTTATCAATTGAGTAAATTTCTGGGTATGATACCGGTGTCTCAGCACTCTGATTCACGGCGAATTGGAACGTTGCGACACTGGTATCATACCGTGAGAAATAGACAAATGCCGCAGACGAAAGTTCTAAGGAAACTGACGGAGACCAAGAGGGTTTATAATAAACCTACACCACGCGTATAAAATTTTAAGGCAAAATGTTTAGAAGGTTTGAGAGTTTTCTATCCTCCAGCGTACAAAGTGCTGTTGTTTTTAATCTCACCCCGGAAGGGCTGGGTGAAGCCGGATGTGCTGGTGGCGAACGGAATTTGCTGTCGAACACAGGTTACCTTTCTGGTCGAATGGATGTTTCGAACAGTTCAGTAAGTCCATATGTGACTCACCGTTGGACATGACATTAACTCTCACTCCGGCAATTTGCTAAACAGTCAGCTGAATGACTAAGACTCTACATTGACAAAAATTCATGTGAAAAACACAGTAACATTTACGAGTCCTGGAAGTTAGTCTCTAGCTTGGTCCTGAGAGCCTATACCGTCGACCTCTAACACATGCACATTAACCACAACAAAATGTCATTAATAACCCTTGCGGAACTGATTCTAATACGCTTTATTTTACAAAACTGGTGCGTATTTTCGCCACAAGACACTCAGTTTTCTTGTGATTTAATAAAAATGCAAATGCATCCAACTGGGTACGTAATCAACTATAAGTATTTCCATCCGATTGTCTAATAAAGCACCACCTAGCCCTTACCACTCATTATTTCAGAAGTGGTGAGAGAACCGGAAGTTTTTGCGCATCGCGGCATCCTTACCTGCATTCTTACCCCGGTTCAGGAACTTGAGAGGATGCGGTCTCATTTAGCTATACTGTTCTTGTAGGCGCTGTTTTTAAAACATTGTCTTTGGCGCATCACCTTGTAATGGTGGACTCAGCAGATCGTTTTGATTACCTTTTCAAATTTCTCATAATTGGAAATGCTAGTTGTGGAAAAACCTGCATACTGCGCCGTTACACTGAGAGAAAATTCTTTCCAAATACACAACACACCATTGGGGCTGAATTTGGCAGTAAAATTGTAAATGTTGACGGCACCTATGTGAAGATTCAAATATGGGATACAGCAGGTTGGACATATTTTGCTTTTCATTGCTTAAGTTGCCACCTGTTTGAGGCAGGAAGCAGAATATTATTTTACGCATTGTGGTGTGTAACCCAGTTTGGTTAGCCGAACAACTGTTATGCTCATAACACGTGTGCACAAATCCCCATGTTAGTACTTACCCACCTAGCAATGCATTGCGGTCCAGGACTGCTTGTACTATGTTCATGCGAATCAGCTTAGGCCCTGCTGTGTGCTATGCCAACAGCCTCCCCCTAATCGATCGTCCAGATCGCGCCGTGTGACTTAATGCAATATAGCGTAATTTCGTACACATCATTAGGACCGGCAGCGGCTACTTTGCGTTACGCTTTCCTAAGATGAAAAAGAAGGTAACAGTCAACCCCGCTGTATCCTCGTTTAAGCATCTTAACGACAAGGACATCATTTCGCCGTTTTGCTTTTGCATGGTCATTTCGTTACTACATCGTAATTGACAGTATCTATCACCTACAGCTTATGTGCGGCGTTTGTATGAAATTGAGGACAGGGTTTTTTAAATGTATTTTCTGACCTTCATATGCCTGATTCAAAGTAGATGGCCCACGCTGGGAGGTTGCTTAGTCGATGCGACCCCGTTGTCCACTTTAAGAGCGGCATTAATAAATGTGCTGGGGCAATGCTGTACGAGTAGACATTTCACGGTCTTGGAAAGTCTCATAATTGGGAACTTCTTCAAAACTGAAAGACTTCCTCTCCAAGCATAAAATTCTAAGAAGACGTAATTTGCTACCAAATGAGTAAAGGAAAGAATATCTTTGTACATGTTTTCTGTGGAATATATTTTAATTTTTAGCAGCATTAAAACTCAAAGGGGAACTTCACACTGCTCAAACAGTCACTTTTTACGGGATACAGTTTACGCGGGCGGTCAATTAGGGACTCGTTCGAAGCCCGGTATCCTGATGTGACTGGAATGTCTTGGTATTATGCGACATGATAAATAACATGACAACCATACTTAAATCGTCTTTTAGGATTGAAAACACATTTCCGAATTTCGGTTAACATTTCATACGATAGCACACCTACTGTACTTATCCTTCATCTGTTTGGCTCATCCATAACATCAAAAATATGTTCTTTTCTGTGCCTAGGTTACCTTTTGCCATATCCCTTATTTACATTATTTAGGCCAAGAGCGTTTTCGGTCAATGGCAAGATCTTACTATCGAGACGCAGTAGGTACACTTCTGGTGTACGACGTCACCAATCGTCAGTCTTTTGATGCCGTTGGCCAATGGTTAAGCGACGCAAGGCAGTTGGCTAGTCCCAACGTCGTCGTAATCTTGGTTGGCAATAAAAAGGATTTACAGGTGCGTTGTTTTTGTTCTTGAAATCATCATTATTCGTACTGTACGGCTGGTATCTACAGTTGCTTACAGTAAACTGGATCAGCTGTTTATTTAAAACAAATTTTAAAGGCATGTATACACCAGATTTTGTTCCGTCGGCAGTTTGGTTGGACAAGATTGAGGGGAAGAAGAAGATACGATCACCGGAACGGTCGTGACTGTCTCTGATGATGGGTCAGGTGAGACTCCGGAACGTCAGGCCAATAAATTTCTTGTTCCAGTGATCCCATCTTCTTCTGAACTTCCTCCTGAAACTTGTCTGTTCGATTTTATCAGCCAGGTCGGAAGGATTGTTTGCATTTTAGACGGGACGTAGCAGCCTATTGACCGAAATCCGGCTTAAGTGGCCTGCATGGACAATTTTCGTCTCCAAACCACACTAATAGGTCAACCGTAAGAATTCACAAGTATAGGACACGTGGTGGGGTCCAGTCGCTGGGACTGATAATTCACAGGTGATTTGTCAAGGGGCGGATGTTTGGCGAGGCGGAAGAACCAGAGCGGCGCCTTTGACGTCTATCGGTAATTAAGCATTTTCCGATTAATGACAAATGACCTTTATTCTGTTCAATCACTTATTCACGCCGCTCGCTCGGGAACATTCATTGTAGCTGCTACCGCTCTGGTCATACCTGATCTAGTCGACCCCGACGGTGACACGAATCATGTCTCTCGGTATACAGCTCTCTGCAGCAATCAATCAGGAAAGCACAACCTACTCTCTTCTCCAGCTATGGAAGCTGAATATCAAATGCCTAAGAACTGTTTGTCTGTCTTGACGGACTGTGCTGGGACAGGTTTTGAAGTTACCCCTTCCGGGTGTACAGCGATATTTGATTAGCGACAACGACATTAAACTCGTAGGGCGGTCGACGAAAAACGTAGCCTAGCCACCCCAGTCGTTTTGAATGGTTGATGATGTTCTTGTGATGCTGTCACAGTGCGCGCGGGCCGTCTCATTCGACACGAAACGGGTGTACTTCACTCGATGAATGTTTCCCGGACAACACTGATTAGTCACATCCGCTTTCACTTGTCGTTTATTTACACAACCCAACATTCACAAGCGTAAAAGGGGGCCTTACGAACGAGCGCCAGGCACACGCAGATTTCTGTGGCGATGGAGATTTCGCTTACAGTCCATAGACACCATCCGGGAATTACGAAGATCCTGTCACCTACATCGGTTTGCGAGACGCAGCCATCCTTAGTCCTTCTATCCGGCTTCAACTTCACCTTAAGGTATTCGAGATTGGCTTCTTCCAGTTGACAGTCATCAAACCCCAGGGGTATCTTCTCGTGGTCAGGAATGTAGCTCAAAAACACTGGTCTTCTTAGCCCCCATGATTTAGCGAATTCACCCGCGACGCCAAGAACTGTAGTGCCAAAGCGTGAGGCTAGCAGAGCGATATCGCCAGCATAGTCTAGGCCAGTCAACCGGCGCCCGGACGCGTGTTCAACACCGTCAAAACCCCTTAGGTTCCATTCGAGGATCCAGCAAAAAGCGCAATCGAACAGAATGGGCGGCAGGATACGACACTGTCGAACGTCAGACCCGACATCGACCGACTGATAGAGATTGTTTCGTAGTATAACATGCACTGGTGGGGCGATGACCGACCTTGATCTTGGAGATTATCTTCGCCCCATACCGTCTACAGTCTTTATCCGCTACGGAAACTCATGATGGGTGGAATAGCTGCGACGAAATAAAAGCTATCTGTCGGTTGCTGGTAGCCACGGCGAGATTCAACACCGCGCCGTGGCGTCAATCCAGTCTGTGCATCTGCATTCAGCTTAGAGCCTGGCCTGATTTGCTCTAGTCCTCGACTCATGCACACCATGGACTAGCCCGAAAGTGACAACGGCAAAGACCTCTGCAGAAAATTTGATGACACCTTTGTCACGGTGGTTCTCGCACCTTGTCTTAACACCCTTCTTGAGGATTGGCACAGGATGTCACGAGAAGGCTTAAGTCGAGCTGGCGAAATCTTCTTTGCGGAGCCTGGCGCTTACGAGAACTGAGTCGTTGAGAAAATTATATCAAATCGCCCATAGACCCTGGCAGATCCAAAATGCAGTGAAGATGAAGTGTCTGGCCGAGATAATAGTAGATTTTTAAAGTCATGAGACCACTGGACCGCGCGTACTCATAAGCTGTAGTTTCAGGCCACTGTGGGTGCTGTGCACCATTGAAGACCTGAAACACACAGAATATTATAGGAGAACTGAGCTAGACCACTTCTTCTGTCGTCCGGCCTGCACGAAATGTTGTTGAGTTAAACTGGGTCGCCAACGATAATGATTCGGCCGCGTTGACCTCTAACAGCGCCATCGTTTGAGAAATTCACTTGTGTAAGGGATGGCAGCCTTGTGACGTCAGCCTCTGATCACCCCTATTTCCTGCGGAGTTGCATGGTCAACCACGACAGCCCTTCACAGTAACGATATCATTTGCAGATTTGTTTGCAGCGAATAAGGAGAAAGCGTCAAGGTGCACTATACGGTCTTCCCCATGCCAACCCTTCATAAACTGACACGCAAATTTGCCCCGCAATGCGCTTGCGCTCAACGTATGTTCCTGCCGTTCGTTCCAAAGTACTTAAAGTGCGGAGGATTTTTGTTATTTGATAAACGGTCGTTCTTATACTCAAGAATTTGTCCTCCCAACCTGTTATCGAGGTCTAATATGTGCCATAGTTCTTTCATGCAGCTCGGCTGACTGATGCAACTGCCTACTCGAGCCAAGCTAAGTTACCTCGATGTCATCCGATTAACCGAATCTCGTATTTTTATTGTTTTAATCGACTTAGCGGTCGATTAATGAAAGTACGCTTTTATCTGTGTGAACTTCAAGCAACACAGAAGTATCGACTCCTGTGTGCTATTATTCTTTCAAGGGGCAGAATAGCTCATTTCAGAAAAGTTTATAGACTGCTAGCAAGGTTAGACACCGAAAGGCCAGTCAACGGACTTGCCGTTGGAGCTCACGTATCCCCGTATTGTTGATGACCTTTGGCCTAGCTTTACTGATGTTGCCTTAACAATGGATAACAGTGGACAGTTTTGGTCCTGTTAACTGTTTCTTCGTTGTTAGCTTGAGTCGCGAACAATGAATAGGTGAAAATGCTCCCAAAACGCCTCGAATTACTCCTACTCTCTACACGATGGCCGCTCATCTCCTTGCACGAAAACTGTGATTACTTTCAAACACACGCCGTTTAGTAGACTCATCAGCTGTCTCCACTATTCCAGTTGCCAACATCCACTAAGAATTTTAACGAAGCAGTAACACTGCATGAGACGAGCTCGACAGCAAAAGCGTAGTTAGCAGATTAAGTTCATTGGAACTTATCGTAGAGCGACATGTCGATAATAAGAGTTGCAGAATTGCACTTCTCCTGCAGCTGCTAAAATTCTGTCTCGAGGCGTATTTCACACGTACTTCCCCACACACTAAAACATAAAATGCCCTCTAATTGGGTTTCCGCTCTCGTCGTTGAGAATGTTTTTGGAAAATTGGGTCGGCGCCGTTGCTTTGGTTTCGATAGACCAACCGCACTTTCAGCATTGTCAAACAAAAAGTTGTTTTACAATTCTACGATATCTTAGGTGTCATCTCTATTGCTTCCTTTCTTCACTTGGGGAGGAGAGAGCAGCCATGTACCTTTCTTTGACCTCTTTGTACACCGTAGAGATGAAGAGATTCTTGGGGCAACACTGCGAAAGAACACAGTCAGTGCGTTCAAAATCCCGAGTTACTACTGTAATCACCTGCCACGTGTCGGGTTCTGCGGTCACATCTTGACTCACGAGTCTTGAAGGTCAAGACAGACGGTGAGTGGATACGAGTGACAGCACCGACGTAAACGATAAGAAATCAATTAACATTGGTGCGATTGCGGGTGCCAACTTCATTGAGAAGATTTACAGCCGCTCACATCTGTCGCCTGCCATGTCTGAGGGGAGGGAGGAGACAGTCGTCTCGATGAGACCCACTAGCGCAATCATGGGCATTGTTTAATACGACGGAACGCGATATCACCGTATCCTCTGACGTTTGAAATCTGCTTGGTTCCGAAATGCCAAAAAATGAACATAAGGTTTATGGGGTCCCATCACTGTAATTTGGAGTAACTGTGCGGAGTGGGGGGGGGGCAGCTAAACTGGACGGTAACTCGTCCCTTTATGCGTCTTTTTGCGTTCACTCTGGCCCCCGGATTCTTTGTTCAGTCTCCTTCCTGTTATGTTTGAAGAGACTTCCTACGCCGATGGTTATTCTGATTCTCTATTTTTTTTCGCCCATAGGATACGGATGGTCAGGTGACTCATTGGGAGGCAAACGCGTTCGCTCAAGAAAACGACATGCAACTGGTTGAAACTTCCGCTTTGACTGGTGAAAATGTGGACGAGGCGTTTACTCAATGCCTGCGCACCCTGCTAGCTAAAGTGAAGAGCGGTGAAATGGACCCTGATAGACTGGGTGGTTGTAAGCCACACGGCGTTACCCTGGCGGCCAGTAGTCCTGCCGCTCGCACTTCCTCCAACTCTCCCCGACCCCAATTCTCAAGTCTTGCGTCCTCCGGTAATTGCACCTGCTGACAGGTCACGCCCCCTTCTTAGTGCAATTCCTACTTCTCCATCACACCTGTCACGTGCTGGTCTTATAACTCGCAATCATTCCGCAAAGGTTTTTTTGCGTTTGCCTCAACTGTTTTCTTTCAGTTCAAGATCTTTGTTTTCTCACCACTGTGTATTGTCTCAGTTTATTTCAACGCAGATTATCATGTTTTTTTCACATTTGCATGTGTACCGGACTCGGGTGGTTTGTGCAATTTTACGGCCTTCTCATCGCCTTGATCAATAAAGGATACCTCTCTTACTTGTCCTCGCACTCACCTTTGTTATACTGTTTTGTTTTCTCAATCCCTTGCCTCGTCCTTCTTCCTCCGGGTCAGTAGCCATATTGAAAAGAATGTCCCTGTACACGCAGTTAACACGGTATTTTTAGTCTTGTCAGGAGAAGACAAAGCTGCTCCGATCCGTGTCCCCTAAGCCATCAAGATATGCCCCTCGTCGAAAGCAATAAGTCGAAGGATGTCGATGACGTGCTCGACCGCCAGTAGTCCGGTCTCCCCAGACACTTGCGTGTTGGGATTAAGACCACTGTCTACTTAACCGACTATGTGCTTGATTGTTGTCAGAATATGTGCGTGTTGCAAGCTGTGCGCCGTCTGAAGATGGTAAATTTTTTCGTAAGACTGTCAGGAATGTCTTGTTCCCCAGAAAACGAATTGCCTTTCTGTGCCCGCCTTCACCGCATTTGTTGGGGTACAAGTTTCATAAAGAAAACGGGGTCGTAATTCTCTCATTTGACCGACCGTGTTGTCAGCGGCGGCACCTTTTCCAGAATACCAGTTACTGCGAAGAGGGAAGAGGGGAGTGAATCTTCAGACCTGGAGCGTTTGTCTGGCGTCGCAAACATCCATAAAGCAGCAGGTCCAGTGGGGGCTGACGTTAGACGTAGTTTCGGTGTGCGCAAACAGGACTCTCGTAACCGCTGGAAAGTGGATGAGCAAACCGCCAATGCCGACGGATATCTCAGGATTGAATACAGTGAAAATCGGCCAAGAAAGCCCGTCACCAACAACCTTAAAAACAGGCTTAAGAGCAGCAATTTTGTGGCACTAAGGTCATTTTAATCAGAATCAATGTTCATTCAATTAAACGCATTTAGGACGACCCTCTTAACCACGGTATGTCAATTAGGGAAACATCTAGTGCGGTTATGTGGCATCAGCTATTCTTCTCCCCATCTTATGGTCATATCTGGAGCAAGCCTGCACCTCCTGAATGACTCAAGCCGTTCGATTACTTTAAAGGCGATATACCGGCCAGCCGACAGGGTTTCTCGACGCTAAAAAGGAGGCAGCTGGGTCAAGATTATGTATGCAGTGGAAATTACCGTTGGGTCTTGAGGGGTTGGGAGTTCCGGAATAAAATCAAACCCAACGGGCAAAAACAGGACATGGGAAAAAACGGGGGAATCTGATTGTAAACGGACCGAATAGGTTGAGATGCCTTTTTTACACGTTTTGCCGCGTTCGGCAATACCTGATGTTTTGTTTCATGAAGACAGGAAAGAAGGGGAGTCTTCATGTGAGATAAATGCGATGGTAATCGTTCGCCCCAAACGTGGCATTGCATTTTGGGCATTTGCGGTTCCGAGTTTCGTAGCGAGTCTTGAGACAGTTCAGGCAAAATACATGGAAACACTTTGTGAGGATTGCATCCTTCTTGTTCGTTTTACAAGTCGGGCAAGTCAACTGCTCCTGCAAAACAAAGGGGAACTCGAGTTAGTGACCACTGGGGAACGAATTCGGATCTAGGAAAGAAGAAAAGGTTAGGGAGACAATTAACAGGGAAGGTCCTGTTGTTAACTAAGAAGCGAAAACTGCCAACAAAAAGGAACCTTATAATCCTGGATTTCTGCCAAAAGGACTTCATCGGCATTGTGCGACTGTTCAATCTTCCGCAGGCGTTCGTATTTACGACGAAGTGTAACTAACTCCTCCTGAAAAGGAAATACAGAGAAGGGTACTTAGGCCTACGGACCGACCTATTCACATGCCTTGAGGTTCAAATCCCTCATCCCCGAGGCCAGATTAGCGGGGATAGTGGCTTCGGTCCGCCGTTGAGGGCAAGTTATTTAAAAGTAGTTAGTAAACAGAAAAGTGAGGCAACAAGGACAGTGGTGGGAGACCAAAATTCACCTGCAGGCGTTGGTGACGAAAAGAGACCTGCTCATAGGCGGAGGCCTTTTCCTGCACAATTGTCTGCGCCTCATTCAACTGTCCTAGGTACTTTTGAACAGTAACTCGGAGATCCTCCGCCTGTTGTTGACATTCGACTGCCTTCCTCTTGTAGGCCTCTTGGGACTGTTGTCTGGCAGTGGCCTCCTTTTCCAGTGTGGCAATATTAGTCAGCAGGAGGCGTTCCTGTGAAGGTGTTTGGGTAAGATAATGTGATTTGAGAGCAGACGATGTCTAGTTAGGGCGTTGGTCGGTTGTTATGACCAATCAAGCAGTGCTGTTTTGCAAAAATAAGTAGCGATTATTTCGTAAAATGAGGGGCGCGGCAACGCAGACGCGATACCCAGCAGACGCTTCTGGGCTCCACTCAGTGGTGCCATTGGTTGCATACTAAATTGAGGTAGATGGGATGGTTATATTGACGCACTTGGCTCATGCGTCACTATCAACTAGCAGTGTCCCAACCGCAGGTCAGGAAGACCGGGGGCCTTGGTTATAAACCCATGGATTCACGGTCTGCGGCTGCGATCAGCATTCTTCAGTCACACTGGAGTGACGTTAGCCGACTTGTCCTGATTGTACGACAGAAACGGGTGCTCCGTCCTGTTACGGGATTTCGGTTTAGAGTCATTCGACAACACTTCGCACTGATAAAACAGACAGCCTCCATCAACGGCGTCTTATCGTTGAACCTGACGTGAGAAATTGGGAGGCCTCATTCAATTCCAGCAAATATCTTGCGCAGGAGTTTTGTTTGTTTTTTTAGGTTGCAGGCACTTAAACTTAAGCGGCTATTACAAGCCGTGAAATTAACACGCTTAACCTAGCAGACCCAGAGCAGTTAGAGCCATCAGGTTTGCTAAATAAAAATTGCCAAATAGAAGAAAATCAGAGAACAGGAGAATGTAGCCCTTAACCTCCTAAAAACGTACAAAATCCTTGTTTAACAAAAGTTGGAACATGGATTGACCTTGTCCTCCTGTTTTTGTGTTGTGCGCTTGAGCGCTTCAATCTTGGCCTGCATTAGGCGGACTTGTTCATCCAGTAGCTTCTTATCCTCCTTCAGAAGTCGCGCGAGTTGACTTGTCTTCATCCACTCGGCCATCTGATTCAAATTGGCGTCATCTTTCTCTCTCAACGTTTTAACCAGCCGTACATTCTGCTCCTGGACGTCCTCGAAAGCCTGTCCAGTGACCTAAGACAGGAAAGAAAAACGTCGTCTTATGCCTGCCTAAGGACGAACCATACTCTCCGTTTCAGAAGAGGTGGACATTTAAAGGAATAAGAGTTAAATCGAATGTTGTTCAGGACGTTAGTGCGGAGTCGAGTACCACTGTACATTAGAACAGCCTGGCCGCAGCGCGAACAAAAACTGCCACCATTCGCAACTATAACAAAACATGTCCTTGTTTCCAGAATCGAGAAAAAAAACCTCAATGAAACACTTTCAGAGCCGCAATTCACATCAATGGATTGTCCGCCATCATTGACTGGCTACCCTAACTAGACTGTACCTGAGTAATGGGTGAAAGGCCTTCGAAGTAGTTGTATGGACAGTCGTCCAACGGTTAAGCCGTTACTGTCGGGTGGAAACATTCACTGCGGGCGAACAGTCTAGCTGTACGCTGAACAAGTGGGACGGGTCCAGGGACGAATTTGTGGTAGACGGCAAAGTGAGAAAAGGATAGATGGTAATGGTGTCCATAGTGCTCGAGCACTCCATATACTGTGCTCAGAGTTGAAGCCACAAACAAAGGAGTGTGCCGGTCATCGTGATGTTTTTGCAGTTGTACTAAGTTCTCAAGACTGAGAACGATTAGTGCATAGCAGACCAGGCTCCCGGTATAGTGTTTTT